ACGACTGACATGTTGTTGTGTGGGACAACAGATTACCGGACAGTTCGGAAGACTACCAAAACTCTTCTTCCAGCTTGTGACACCTTCGCATCCCCTCGTGCTTTTTAGCTGCGAAAGAGACGGCCCTGCATCTGAAATCCCTGCACTCCGTTCGTGTTTTGTTCCCCAACGGCTTTGGAGGACACCTGAGCTTGCGACATTTAACCATGGGTGTTGCGAATGGGGCATGGAGAGCGTCGGAGCTTCGAAAGGCACAGAGGAACATTATCTGTCATTGCGGACTGCTGCCTGCTGCGGGGAGGGATACCACCCTACAGACATCCTGCACAATCATCTGCACTGGGACTTCAGAGCACAACGGAAACACAAACACTACGGTCCTGGCAATTCTGCCCGGCCAGCTTGAACAAGTCACCGTTCTTGGCATTTCGCACTACGGTCACTATGGCCTATGGGCCTGTGAAAACTGCTCTTGTGGCAACGCTGTGCAGCTAGTTCGTTCCAATCCGCAAACCTGACCCTGAGATCGCCCAAGCTTCCCAAGTCTCTAAACCCTAACAAAGCCCTAAACTTCCGCTTGTGCTTAATTATGTGGTTTACAAGGAGCCCTCAAGGATGCTTATAACGGTTCTACATAGGGTCATAACTGCAGAACCCAGGAGAAACGAAGTTGTTCAGCATGCGCAAGCTGAACCTCAAACCGAAGAAGCTGCGAGCTGCGGACGCCACAGAAAGCTTCCAACCTGAATATTGAAATTTACCCTCGGTGTTGGCAGGGGGGTGGCCAAAAATGCAAGCCCCAGCGATCCTACCCTTTAAGGTTTTAGGTTTCGGGAGAAACCCGACAAAACTACTGTTGTCATGACAAGGTTGCACAAAGGGCAACTCTTGCTCCTGCCAGGCCAACTCTCGTCCTGCAAGCCTTTTGCTAGGCCGAAAACCCTGTACACGGAAGGACTCCCACTCATGCATTTTTAGTTTCGAATTCACTTGCGGGCGTCCACGACTTGGGCTGCATCGTCCTCAGACTCGGAATGGCGTGCTTGCAGGATTCAAAGGAGTTGGCGAAGTTGGAAGCTTGATGGAACCGTGGGACCTTAAACTCCTAAAGGCGGATCATCTAGTTCATGGTTGGGATAGGATCAAAAATTTAAATTCTATTCCTTATTGGGTTTAAGTACCGCAAAAATGTAAAATGTTACCCAACTGTGACAAAGTCATGATGTTCTGTGGTTCCGAGCTTCGCCATGGTAGGTTGGGGTGTAACGACGCTACCCGCGCGAAGCCTCGAAGTCTAGACCCCCTCGACTCCGATTCCGAAAAACCTGCAGTGCTGTTCTGATGGGAGGCCAAAAGGGGGGCGCTAAGATTCTTGGGGTAGGGCGGGTTTCCTTAATATGAATCCTATTAGGGGAACCGTAATCCCTACTAAACCCCCATAGGCTAAAACCCCTTTTGGCCTCCTATGATGTTCACGTAGCTCGAGCGTCACCCTGTGACTCAGGTCCGAAAAATCAGAGCGAAAACCTCGACCACAACGGAACATGGTAAAGTAAAAGCCAGAAAGTTGGAATATGATTATCCTAAACCCTTTATGGTAAATTATAGGGTATCCTACCCTGAAACCATATTCCAACTTTCTGGAGTTCCCTTTACATGGCTGGAGCTGCGGTCAAGAGACTTCATCTTCGGCTGGTCCCGGAGTGCCGAGCCACATCCAGTCCGATTGTCGAGAATCAACATAGATCTTCCATCTTGCCCTGGTTGAAGGTTTAGGGCTCGTGACCCTGCTAGGCAAATTTTATGACATACATCCCGGGTAGGTATCAACGATGAGGAGGAGACGGGGACCAAGGAGAAAAACCTGGGACCTGAGAAGAAGCAAAACAAGAAGAATAAGAAGAAGACGCGGAAGCCGCAGCAGCAGCAGCAGCAGCAGCAGCAGCAGCAGCAGCAGCAACAGCAGCAATCGTAAGAAGAACCACATGGGTAACGAAAGCGCAGCAGTGGAAAGAGCGGGCGCAAGAACCATAATCCTGATTAGGAACCTACCGCCTACGCCATGAAGCTGGATGACATATGGCTTAGGTAAACGGAAGAAGCAATTGTCTGGAGTTCCCTTCGAAACTTCTGGCACACAAAACACTGAATACTTAATCTATCTAAGCAGAGGCTACGAATGACGCATGTCACTTCAACTCATCATGATCGTTCTGCCGAGATGCCGATCTTGCTCCACCTGAAGTCGATGGGACATTCTCACATTGGAGCTTTTGAGTCACTCAGAGTGAAGACTTTAATATGCATTAGTGCTTTCCTCCTGTCTTCTATAATTATGTAGGAATCTGATTAAGAAACCCTGGGCCGTCTACCCCAAAATAGCAGGTTTCATAAGAGGAACCCTAATAAAGGCCCAAGGCTTCTTAATCAGGTTCCTGCATTAGCATCCTTGGAGAAACGCTTCTCGAAAAGCCACCACCGGACCCAGGGTTAAAAGAAGGTATGTGGGGAGTTGTCAAAATCAGGGTCCCTCTTTGTCTCCTTAATATAATACGGCACCTATTATTTAGGGTACCCAAAAAGGGACCCTACTTTTGACAACTACCCATGTTTAAGAACCTTCTGCCTCTTGCTACAAGTCTGCAGCTCTAGAAGATCCCGGGAGGTCAGATCTCGACGAGGGGTTACGGTTTAGGAAGTTTGGGAAGTTCAGGCTTATGGGTTTTGGGCAATAGAAGGGTTCAAGAAGTTTGCTCATTTTCATTCGGCCGCTTGGTTCTACTTTGCGGCCCGGCGCGATTCGAAACTTGGCTTCCGGCTTGGGAATCTGGGTCGATTCCTTTGCCCGGTGCCCCGTTCTGAGGGGGTTTTTAGGTCTCGAAGCCTTAAAATCCTAAAGTCCACGACGGTGAATGGCTATGTTCGGTGCTGGCTTTGCTACGTACGGTTGAAGTTAACAGAGGAGGTTTTTTGAATGTGGTTTGGGCTCAAAGTAACCCTCTTGAACCCAGTCTCTACTCAACACTATAGGCCCTAAACAGTAAACCCATGAACCCCAAAACCAAGGAACCTTTATGGAACACGCGCCTTGCGCAGGTACCTGTTCAACTTCCTGATGTGGTCATCGTGTGTTGACCGATCCGGCGGCATGGGAACTCCCGGCAGAACTGGCGCTGTAGATCTAGGTTCCCCAGTAGCTGCGAACATAGAAGGGTTTCAATTCATCCTGGTAGTTCGTTTTCAATGGGGTTTAGGGTTTAAGGTTTTAGGGCTTCGGGGTTTTGGGTTTTAGGGCTTAGGACAAGGAAAAAGGATGCTACTGTGGAACCCAGCATCTTGCCATAGAAGGACGACGTTCGCTTCACGTTTTTGTTCGTAATACCGCCTGGGTTGCGCAAGCACTCCACCGAACGAAAAAGCTGCAACCTTCTGTGCAAGGCACCCGAAGGCAAAGTGTCGAGCAAGGTATCCAAAGCTGAAACTGCGGCTAGCGAAGTTGCCTGTACTCTTGTTGCTCCTACTGTGGATACTGACAATCTACCAAACCAAGCATGTGGTGGAATATGGATCAGGGCTTAGGGAGACGAGCCCGACATCTCTTTTCATGTACTTGTCTAGCCAGCCGAGCAACTCGCACCACAGCCCATGGCCGAAGGACGATGTGACAGAACAATTCTTCCGCACTCGCACACGCAGCAGTTCTGCCGCCACCGCACTAAATATACTGAGAGCCAATGCCGAAAGCCTGCCGCTTTAGGGCTTTGGTCTTTATGTGAGAGCGAGTTGATCGAGGTACCCTGGGATGCGATGCGGGATCTTATTGCGGTTGTGGGTTGAGAGGGTTATCGTCCAGAACTTACATATTCCTCAAGAGCCCTATGTATATGCAACATATGCAATATGTGTGTGCATGTATATGTATATATATATATATATATATATGCGTGTGTCTGTGTACATATATATATATATATACACACACACACACTTCTCTCGGCCTCCCTCTCTCTCTCTCTCTCTCTCTCTCGGTCGCTGTCCCCTCGCTCTCTCTCCCTCTAAGCTGTACAAACTCACTCATAAAACTCTACCTACCTCACATGATAACAAAACAAGCATAAAGAGTCCACGGCCACTAGCTAAGCAGCACGTCATCTTCTCCCATGTGGACACCCAGCCACTGTGTTTTGGGGCTTAGGGTTCAGAACTATGGTCTTGTGGTTTAGGTTCTGCCACAGCCAAACTCCCAAGGTGCTTGGTTCTGATACAGTCCAATTATCAAGGGTACAGAGATCCGCGATTGAGAAAACATGTCCACACAGCTGAGTCTAAGTTCTCGTGGATTTGGAGACCCGGGCGAAGACTTTTAGGGTTTAGGGCTTAGGGTTTAGGGACTACAAATCAGTGAATCCAGGTAAGCCGCTGGTTGACTCCGAATCTTGACTGTACAGAATCGCTGAAAGTCCCACCACACGAGATGACGATCTACGCAAAGCGGGAGACAACTAAGAACCCTAGACTCTAGACCCTAAACCGAAACCCTAGGCTACACCCTGGAAGGAAAGCCTTAGCGGAAAGCGTCAAACTCTGGACAACGAGACCCAAAGCTTTGAACCCGGAAGCCACTATCATTAGGCTCTGTGCACACCACCTGAGAGCCCATGATTAGGTTTGAGATGGGCTTAATAGGTTCAGGGTTTATAGGGTTTAAAGCTTACAGGGTTTAGGGTTCAGGCCGTATTTAAGGATGATATCTTCAGTAGTGCACGCCCTGTTTAGTTTAGGCAGCATAACCTTTTGGATGAAGTACGCGACCTCCAAATATTATGAGAACGAGGCTGGTGCAGTGTATAGCCTGTGTAGCTTAGCTACAACCGTAATATGAGGTTTTCCCGAGGGTTTTGGGTTCAAGATTCAAGGTTTTTTTTTTTTAAGCGCCTTTTTCCGCCTGCAAATCTGTCTCTGCCTACGGAAGACCTCAAGGTCAGGCGAGCACGGACACATCAGGCTTGGGACTCGAAACCACCCTGCTCCGCCACACACTGCAGTTCAAGCATTTCCGCGACCTCACATCCATGTGTGGCCTGCACTTCTCCCGTCGACACTAAGCCTCCCATCCACTGGCCATACAACTGTTGGAACTGCTCCATGGAGAGGTCTGTGAATTGGAACCGATCCCCGTCGTTGAACCCTGGCTCCCCTGCAACCTCTGAGGTTGAGCACAACTCACCCACATCGAGTTGGGTCGTCACAGGCACCCCTGACCCTGGAACCAACACTGTATCCACATCGGTGTCTGTCCCCTCAGCCGCGGTACCCTCGGCGGTGAGAGCCACATCAGCAGCCAGAGGCCCGGGCACTGTCACACCAATCCCGCCCGCAACTGCAGCAGGTGGCGTGTCCACAATGTCCTCCTCATGGACCACCGTGGCGGTCAAGCTGAAGGCAACCCCAGACTGAGGCAGGGGCACCCTCCACCGGCGAGACACACGAGGGGCATCTGAGCTAGCCGAAGCCAGTTCCACGTCAAGGTATGCCCGTTTCCGTGTAGGCGGCCCTTGCAGAGCTCTCTTGAACACCCTGTCTTCCCACGCACGATAGGAGGCCGGCGACAGGTCGCGAAGCCCGCCCTCCTCCTCAAGGAAGTCATCTGCCAACCGCTGGGTCTCGGCTGCCTCCTCTTCCTCTGCAGCCGCTTGCATGGCCTCCATTGCTTCAGAGTGCTCCACCAACTCTGCCCTGTCACGTCGCTCCTCTTCCACCAAGGCGTCCAAGTCCCGTTCACTCTGCCGGTTTGTTCTCATGAGCCTCCGGTTCGCTGTCTCCTCGGCATCGTCCGAGTCCGACTCCAAGGGCAGTGGCTTCTGGAACAGCACCGGAGCCGGCAGCTCTTGGCTGACCGGAAGGCCACGGTCCCTGCGGCTACCCGGAACGGTGGGCACGAAGAGGGCCAAACGCTGAAACCACGCTGTGCACACCCCAAGGTGGTGTTCCCCTGCCAGAAAGCCCGCCGAGGACTCCATGGCAGCCACCAGGAGAGCAAGCACCTCGCCCGCTCTCCCCCGTGCATGCCCCAAGCACCTGCCCGAAAGGGAATCCGTCACTCTGTGGTCCAACCAACGCCATATCACCTGGCTGTTTGCAAGGCGAGCTTCCTTTGTCATATGTTCAAGGGCATTGCGGAAGTCAGCCAGGAAGAGGTACCAATCATTATCGGTAGTCACCAATGCAGACTGCATGAGGGATGTGTCATCCCCATCCCCATCCCCTTCTGGCGGGCTCCAATCAGGGCCCGATCGCTCCTCAGTCAAGGCATCCTCGACTATCATCCCTATCATTCGCAGGAGGCGACCCACAACTCCCTGGAAGGCCAGCACCAAGGTGAGGCGGTCCTGCGCTCCGTAGCCCAAAAAGGTCTCAGTGACAGAGTTCCTTGTAAACTCCCCCACGATGACCCCAGGCTGCGCGTCAACCTCCTCATCCAGAGCAAGCCCCAAAATAATTGACCAGATATCAGCGGCCTCGTCGAGAGTGAGCGGCCTCGGGTCTGGAGTAGACGGAGCCGGGACATCCCTGGAGGAGCTTGCTGCAGCCGATCTGGGGCGAGGGCGCAAAACCCTTGTGGACTCCGTCACCCTGGCCCCCGTTGGCGTCCTTGGTGGCGGTGGAGGCGGCAACGGGCAGCTTTTGGGGGCCGCCTTAGCTTTTGCCTCCGGCCGGGATTTCGGCACTGGCCTGGTTTTAGCTTCCGGCCTGCGACTCCCAGACCGCCTCCGACGAGGAGCCGAGCTGGATTTAAGCCACTTTTGCTTGACCTCCCTCTGTACGAAACTGGTGGCGTCAGAGCCACATGCTCCCTGGAATCGATAGTGGAGGAGCTCGTACAACTCACCCTCCACATCCCTGGCCCAATCCACGAGGTACTCAGGAGGCTCGACCGTCTGTATAAACCCTGCCGGGACCACATCATCCAGCCCAGCAAGAACTTCGATAGCAAGGCCCCTGTACCTCTGATCCCCTCGGCCGAGCATCCGGCCACGCAGCAAGTGCACAGCCCATCCATCTTCACCCCTAGCCCTCTCGTCACGAAGGAAGTCGATGGCGTCAAGCATCCATTCTCCAAGGGCCCGTGTCAGAGGCCCGTCCGAGGTGGCCTCCACAGCACCCTGAGTATTCGGCTCGAGCCCATGAAGGCGCCGTTGCAGAGCGGGCAGCACCAGGAAGGTGTTGAAATGCTCCCTTCGAACCCTCTCGACCAAATTTTCCTCCTCGGCAGGCACTGGAAGGGAGTCAACTGTGCCAAGCCCTTCCGGGGAAATCCGCTCAAGCTGCCAGACATCCTGTTGCTCCCGCTCGCACACAAGGGCCCGTCCAAGGTCCCCACCGGTAGCCACCTCAAAGTCAGCCATCAGGAGAGAAGTGAACCGGCTGTAGCGTGGGTCCCCTCTGGCCTCAATGAGACGGGCGGTGCATCCGAGGAGGTGGTTTGGGTTGACTCCTCGCTCCCACAGGAGGGTGTCGGCGCCAGCGCGGGCATTGACATACCAGAACGGTGGGAAATTGCCGAGGGCATCCACAGGCTGTCCGGAGACCCCGAGCTCGAGGAACGCCACCATCCCTGCCATCCCGACTCCCTGAACCCCTGCACCGCGTCCATAGCGAAGCAGCATCAGCGTCCCTGCCATCCACGATGGTCCCATGCTATGTTTGAATTCAATATGAAGGTTGCCGGTCATGCGGGAGAAGCATGTTGCTCCCCCCAACCCTTCGGCGTAGCCATAGAAGGCGCACTGCGCCACAAGCCAAATCCCTTGGGGCACGAGGCTCCACGAAAACATCATCATGTCGCCGGGCTGAGAGTTGAAAGCGTACGGCCACACTAGAGCCAGGCCACACAAGCACATCCGATCATGTCGTCATCCGCTGCAAGCCCTAGCCCTCGCAGACCCTAGCCCTCAAACCTCCCATGCAGGCAAAGCAAGCTGCCGACCCGTCGCCCATTGCAAATCGTTCTGAAGCACCCAAGTCCCTCGCAAGTTGGCCCAGGAAGCCCTGTCGTGACATGACCCTCGCCATGGACCCTGACACACCCTGTTCATAGCTTCTTCAAGATTTGTGAGTCTGGCGTAGTGTCTCCGATGGGTGGGGCCATTCTTGGTTGTCTGAACACGACGCCACCAAGGCAAACTTCGAAATTCATCGATGAGCCCACTAAGAGGTGGGAACTCAGCCATCAAGGATCGAACCCGATGCCCCGAGAAGTCCCACCATCGTTGCAACCACATCGTGCTCCACCTCACCCCTTGACTGTTGTGCAAGGCTGCTCGGGCTGAGCGAACCACCCTGGCCCTGAACTGAACCCATGTTTCGTCAGTCCTCTTAAACAACCGGAGCATCCACCCTATCAGAGAAGCTTGCAACGAGTTGAGCAATCCCATGGCCGCCTTGTCGGGCGGGATAGCGGCAATGCACCAGAGTGCGGCTCCTGCCACTACCCGTTGGAGAAGACGGATTCGCCCTTTGATCGGGGTCTTACACCGGAGCAGGTGTTTCAAGGCCCAGAATTTGCTCCGAGCCCGGGCAATCAATGGCTGGATGAGTTCACAGGGCGACATCCCTTTGCGAAATTGCAGCCCCATCAGCTCCACAGAGGGGGAGGACTCCAGTGTGATGTCCCCAACCCGAACCCTATGCGGCTTGGGGGAATCAAGGCTACAGTACAGCTGACACTTCTTAATATTGAGAACCAGCCCATAACCCAGAAGAACCCCTTGCAATTGCTGAAGCCTTGTTTGGACCACTGTAACATCCCCATGCCATAAGAAGCCGTCATCCATGAAGAGAGCCGCCTCCCATTCGAAGTCTGCAAACAGTTTGGGCCCCCTGTGCCACTCAAAATCCCTTGCCGTTTCTTCAAGAGCCTCTTCCATCAGCAACCCAAAGAAACTCGGACTCTCGACTGCCCCCTGCTTAATCCCCGACTGCATGAGAAATCCGGAGACTCCCCAAGGGCTAACGAGAAGAGCCCTCGTGTCATGGAGGAGCTGCTCCCAGCAGGCCATCTCGGGCGTGTCCCCGAGGCGGGAGCGGAGCTTTTCAATCAGACGGGGTCTGCTGACCGAATCAAAGGCCTTCTGGACATCAATTTTTGCGCACGTCAAGGGAAGGCCCCATTCCCGACACAACTCAAATATGCGCCATACACTAAATACATAGTCGCAAGACTGACGGTGCTGTCGGGCACACTGGTAGGGGCTTCGGGGCCCCAAGAAGGGGAGGCTCCTGTTTAACAATAACCTCGAAAAGAGCTTGGAGGCTGCACTACCCAGAGCAATGGGTCTGAGATCACGTGGCCCGAGTGGCTGAGGTATTTTAGCCAGGAGAATAAGGACAGAGACATTCCAGTCTGCCGGCACCTTCCTCGACACCAAGATTTGGGTAAAGAACTCCGCAAGGTGGGAGGCACCCCCTGGGACCGACAAGAGACCCTCAAAGAGTTCACGGCTAGTCAAGTCTATCCCGACCGCTTTCCCTCGCTTCATCTGGCCGACGGCCAGCTTGACCTCATCCACCGAAAATCCCCGTGCCTCTCCGGTCGGCTCAACTATTGGCGTTGCTTCGGTGCCCTGGTTCAAGGTTTAGGGTTCTGTGTTCAAGATTCAAGGTTTTGGGATTTGGGTTCAAGGCTCAAGGTCTAGGGGTTTGGGCTTAAGGTTTAGGGTGCAGGGTAAAGGGTTACGCTGCTCGACGCATGAGCTCCGGAAGCTTCGGTCTGTGGCTTTAATAACTAGAATAGGGTTTTGGGGTAGATTATACTATATAGTTATGATAAGGAACCCGTTTATACTATATAGTTATGATAAGGAACCCGTTTTGGGGTATATTATACTATTCTTGACAGGGTGGCAGACTCAGGCCGCGACACAACAAACGATGGTCTGCACGTAGCCGCAACCTGCCAAAGCGGCAGCTACGGCGGAAGGGTTTGGGGCTTGGGGTTCAGATTAGAGCTCAAGCCGTTGAGGCCTTTGTTTAAGGGTTTTGCGTAAGGGCTTAGGGTGAAGGACTTGGGTGTTGGGCTTAGGATTTGATTCTGTACCTAGTGGTTGTTGCGGGGACCCCAAACGGCCGAACACTCTGCCAACGCGACCGCCCCAGCACCTCGCAGTCCAAAGCCCTGAATGCCGCATCCCGAATGCTTACCGGCCCAACCTGCCGGACCACATGCGTTAAGAAAGGGACGTAAATAATTTCCTATACGTTTTTGGGAGGCCCCTTATTATAACTATTAGAATATACCACAAAACGGGTTCCTTACTATAACTATCTAGTATAAAATACTCCAAAACCCTGTTCTAATTATTAAGGCCCTCATATTACGACATGGGTAGCTGTCAAAACTATGGACCCTTTTTGGGTACCCTAAATAATAGGTGCCGTATAAAAAGAAGGACCCCAAAAAGGGACCATACTTTTGACAGCCCCCTGCATCGAGCGCTTTCGAGTAGAGGGCTTAGTTAAGGCTCGTAGAGTTGAGGCGTTCAGCCTACTTGGAGGTCCATGGGCACTTAGGGTTTTGGGTTTTGGGTTAGGGTTTAGGGTTCAGAGCTTAGGGTTTTGGGTTTAGGGTTGGGGGTGCATGGGCAGTGATAAGTTCCCAAAGACTCCAATATCCCTTAATTAAAGAATATTCCTTAAATCATATTAGGGATCCTACTATAATTTAAGGTATACTCCTTAATTAAGGGATATTGGAGTCTCTGGGTTATACCTGGACACTAAGGAACCTAGCTTTTTGAAGTCGGGTTCCCTAATATGATTCTGTATATAAGTCCTTAAAAAGGGTAGGTTCTTTGGGGTTAAGGTAACTGGGGATATGTTAAGTAGGGTAACTATAACTACCACCCATATTAGGGGGGAACTTCTAACTCTACTTATGACTACCCATGAAGCTCCAAGAAACCTCAGCCAACCCCCGCAGACCTGACCATCGAGCAACACCCAAAACCCCAGTTGGATACTCTTTGTGACTTACGGGTAGAGCTAGGGGGAGTTTCAGAAGACTGCGGAGTACCTTGTGTAGATGTAACTTAGAAGTGCTTATGATAAGGATTTAGTTCCGCAATTCCCGAAACTCTCCGAACTCTCTCACACTCACACGCAATCTGAAACCCCAAAGTAGCCTTGCAGTGATAGGAAGCACCGCCACATCAATAGTCCAGAGTAGTACAGAGAAATAAGAAATCAACATCATCTGCGAGTCATCATTTCTACCTGCCATCACCTTTATCCTTGTCACTGTCAAGGCTTCCACTGAACGATCATCCGCATGCACTGCTAACGACCCCACTTATTGTGACTACTGTGCACCGAAAACAGCATAAGCGGTGAAGGTGCCGCCCTCCGGATTCTGGTACAGTTTCGAAGATTTTGAACACGCGGACCCAGCCATCTGCCCAAACTCTGAACGCATCAAACGCCAATAAAACAACATTAGGGCCGCTACCGCAGCAGCCCTTCCGCCGAGCTTTGGCCATTCGCCATAAGCGACGGGAGAGCTCTGGGAAAAGGCTGGAGTCAACCGGGTGCTAGGGGTTTTTGGTTTATCAGACTGTAGGATTTAAGGCGACTATAGGCTTATGGGGTCTAGGATGCTCGGATGCTCAGGGTCGAGGGTCTATGGTGTTCGGCATAGCTGTGAGGGTTTTGAATAACGCTCGAGGTTCAAAAAACAACTTGTTCACGATGTCACCTAATCATACATGACAAAGGCTTGGGGGCTTGAAGGCGTTGTTGATTGGGCGTTGTTGCTTTCACGCTTCTCGCGGCTTTCAGCTTCGAGAGGCTGCGGCCGGCATTTGCCCTTTGCCTCGCTTGAGGCCTCCAGGCTTCGGGGGTGATCAAAACTATCAGGACTACCGCAACGACCACGGTCCTCGACATCGCGGCCGGTTTCTCAAGGCTCTCATGACTGATGATGACTGGCACCTAAAGGGAACTCCAGAAAGTTGGAATATGGTTTCAGGGTAGTATACCTTATAATTTACCATAAAGGGCTTAGGATAATCATATTCCAACTTTCTGGCTTTTACTTTAAGCCCAAAAGCCAACTCTTCCTCCCTGCAGACCCCTGGATCGAAGCAGTAACATAGGGGCCTTAATAAATACCTTTTCTGTTTTGGGGGTTCCTCATTATAGTTACAGTATAATGGGCCCCAAAACCCTATTCTAATCATTCAGGCCCCTAAGTATGGCCGAAATCCTGTGGTGTTCTCGCTTGAGGGTGGCCAGTGAGGTTACACCTTCCGTCCGTTTAATTTCAAAACCCGACAGTCTGAGATCTTCCTGGATTGGAGGATTTGGGGTTAGGTCTAGGATTTAGGCTTTCGGGTTTAGGCGTTTAGGTCTTAGGAGGCATGAATTGGATATGTGGCAGAAAACCATCATTGCGTCTTTTCAGGTGTAGGGCTGGGCAAACTTACAGGCCAACAGGTTTAGAGTTTAGGATTTACAACGGCTCAGAGCCTTTAGAGCTGAAAAAGCTTTTTGGGTTGTTACACGGCCCTCTGAGGTGGATGTTTATGGGGTGAGTTAAGGGAATGCACAAACAATCAGCCCTGAACCGTGACCCTAAAACCCTAAGCACTAAAACCGTAAACCCCCAAAAACCCTAAACCCAAACGGTGCGGCCCCGGCCCCGCCACGGATTTTCGCTCGATGCAGAGCTGCCAAATTCACCTATCTACGGCGTATCCGCGAGCGGCTTCTGGGACCCTCGAAACGTATTGTAGGAACCTGATTAGGAAACCTTGGGCCCTCATTGGGGTTCCGTATATGAATCCTG